AATGGCTAGATGTAGCTCAGTGCAAAGGACCTGGGTTCAATCCCCAGCACCACAAAATAACAACATAAATAAATAGTTTTAAAATAAAATCCAAACCGAACAATGTAATGTTTATGGACATATAAACAGGTAGTGATAACTATAAGGAATGCCCCCCCCCAATCAAAGTCAGAATCAAAGATACTTCTGGAGGAGAAGAGGGAACACAGGGACTTTGGGGACATGGTGATCTATTTCTCAGCCTGGATGTGAGATACAAAGAAATCCATTTTATTTTCCTTTAAATTTTTTTGCATATATTTTCATATATTCTTTGTATGCCTACTATGCTTTATAATAAAAAGCAAGATTAAAAACACTTAGCATTTGCCTTGACTATCTGAATGTTTCAGGTAAACATATTTTTCCTGAATTAAAGGAATAATTACCTGGGGGCTTGGGATGTTGTTTGTTTTTTCCAAACAACAAACTGGGGGATCAAACCCAGGACCTTAAGCAAGCTAGGCAAGCACCCTACTACTGAGCTACACCACAGCCCCAAGGAAGTCCTTCTATGCACAATCCCTGTTTATGTAATCATAGGTTTTAATTAAGCACTGTAGCTTTTCCCTGTTACTCAAAGCATGGTAGAAAATTATATGTAACCTTTTTGTTCATAATGGTTTTTATAACCTTCAAGAAATAGTCTAGCAATGCTGTCCCACAGAAATATATTGCAAGCCAAATATGTATTTTATGCTTTCTAGAAGACACATTTCAAAATCTGATCAATATTTTTAAATTATTAATGAGATGTTTTATGCTCTTTTTCATACTAAGGTTTCAAAATCCAGTGTGTGTTTTATACTTGCAGCACACCAGGATCAGGACTACCCATAGTGGCAGCTTTACCGTCCCCAAAAGAATAAGGACCCCAGCTCCAGCTTGGAAAATTAGGAGGAGAGAAACACCCACCAACCCCAGAGGCCTGTGAAGCCTCCAACCTACAAAGAGCTCTGTGTTAGCATCAAGCATAGGTAGGCGCCTTATTCACACAGAACAATACAATTAGTCACTTTTATCGTATCTTTTCTCTTATAACCCTGAATTTCCTCTGCATTGGACCTAACAGGAACTTCTTGCAGAAAAGAAATCATAATGCTTTGGAGATCTTAAGCCCACTTTCCTCAGGAATCTAAAGAATCTTAAAGCCATTGGTTCATTAATCAACAGCTTTACAACAGACTTAACATATTCTGCCATTTTAACTCATGTCAATTCAGAAACGCTGAGCCCTCGACTAGAATGACTAATATTACATACGGAAACAGAGGGCAATCAGTCTGAGACTCTGATTCCCATGGCCCCTGAGCCAACACCCTTGCGTGTCAGTTTAGGTTTATTAGACTTTCTTTGGGTTCCACTTGTCCAGTCACTCATGGATAATTCCTTATATCTTTTCATATTGTTATTCATTGCAGTATTCTCCAATGCTCCCGCCTGCACTTGGCTACAGGAACCAAATTTAATATTTAGTAAGGTTGCTAAAAGAAAATAAACAATTGCCAAAAGTTTTTGTTTCTTTATTTTTTAAGAAGATATTATGATTGCTGTAGAACAGCTTTTGCAGCAATAAAAGCCAAATACTGACTAATTACCAGAGAGCTGCAGAATGAGATTATCAATACGGATGGGATTTTTGTCCTGACTCATTTTCACTACTTTGCATAAAGAAACCTGAATTTTTTTAGTAAGTATTGTTTAGGAAGTGTATTCATTTTCCAGTAGTAATTACATAAAGGTGTCGCTAATGCAAACTAAGCATTGACTTCCAAAGACTCATTTGTGTACTCAAACACACACACTTTTTCCAGGTCTTTCTCGATTTTTTAAATTGCATTTTATCTACCGCAGCACAAAGTATTATAATCCCCAGTGTACTGGTTTTCTGGCTTTCAGACTTCAAAAACCAATAAAAATAAAGGTTTTCGTTGAAAGGTTAGCACGAAGTTGCTAATTTCTTATTTTCCCAGTTACGGTAATAAGAAATGAAAACCTTTTACTTATTTTCTTGCCACCATTTCATTCAAGCAATAGTTTTCCAACAGTAGTCTGCATCACAGTCTCCAAGAGGGCTTGGAGAGACAGGCGCTGGGTCCACCTGCAGATACTGCATTCCCGCAGGTCCCAGTCAGGGCCGAAAAACAGGCATTTCCAAGCGACGGCGGGAACCACACTTCGGAAATGACTGCCTTGAAGAGAGGCCATTTCCCCAACAGCAAGAACAGCAACAAAATGAAGGTGGGGGATAATCTCTGAATAAGGGAGAATGGCCGATTGAGTAAATTTAGCTTTACTTTCCTTATTTCTCCCAAGTCAGTGGAAACGTCACCGACCATAACAAGTCCTGGAAGTAACATTTCAAAACAATGCCTGTTAAGAAGCCCTCACCAGCCACACGTCGCTGAGGAGCACTTTAAACATGGCTAGGCTGATAAATCAGGCACACAAGCTTCATTATCGCATGATTTCTCTTCTAAGAGAAACCCAATGTATACATAAAGAGCAAAATAAAAGATAGACAATGGGAAGCAGAGAGATAGAGCTCGCTCAAAGTGGGAGGGCATCGAGAGAGGAAGAGGGAGGAGAGGGAAAAGGAACGGAGACAGGAATTAAGATGCGTTGTGTATACTACCAACTCACCGCAAGGAAAGTAAACATCGTGTACTGCAGATGTTTACTAACATAGATCGATACTGCACATTTCATTCATGAACATTCAAATGGCCATAGAACATTTCATTATTAATTTTTATATTGATTAGATGTTGAAGTGATAACATTTTAGAGTTCAATAAAAAATTAGTAAATGGCATCTTTTTTTAACTTTAAAAATGTGGTGACTAGAAAAAGTTCAATGACACGAGTGGCACTCGTCAAATTCTATCAGACGGCCCTGCCCTGGAGGTGCGCCTGTCAGTGTGGTCTCTGGTCCGGTGAGCACCATCAGCATCACCTGAGAACACAAGAGAAGTGCAGGACCCCTGGGCCCCGCCTCAGACCCATTGGTTTACAACCCTAGGCATGGGCCCCGGCGACCTGCATTTGAACAAAGCCCTCCAAGAGTTTCTGTCCAGGTTAGAATGTGAGAACATTGCAACTCACTGCTAGAACAGTGCATTCAAACTCTAACAGGCATATATATTGCCTGGGGATCTTTTAAAATTCAGATTCTAACCTACTTAATGGGAGGTGGAATTCAAGGTTTTGCCATTTTAACAAATTCCCACAGGCTGGCGAGTCCTGGTTCATTCTTTGGGTTATAAGAACCTAGAACATTTATTCTTTATGGAGCCCCTCTAACAAATACCCAGTACAACAAACCAACATACACATGCCAAAGTCCCAAGGACTCACACCCCAAGATTCCAGTTAGGCTGCTCGGAGGGAGAGGTATAAATAAATTCTTCCATTTAATCGTTTGCATTATCAGACAACCTGCCATGCTCATCTAATAAGAAAGAGTGCGTTTGTGTTCCTATCTTCTCCAGTGGGCTAGTGGTGATTCAATATATTTAGAGCTGGAAGCTACTTCTACGAACTGGAACATCTGAATGAAAAATGGGAGCTCCAGCTGCATCTCCCATGGCAAAGTGATCCATTTAATCAGCACTGCTGTTTACATCTAGACAGTGGGTTTTGGTCTGAGTTACTAGCAGCTGATTCTAACTCGGAGAAGGCAAGGAGGACAAGAAAGGATAAGAAACTCTTGAGCTATGATGAATTCATTTTTAGTTTACCCTGCATGACAAGAGCCACATGGCAAGAGATCAGAATTCTGTTTGGTTCCCAGGACACACCATGATACAGTACGTTCAAAAGACTGCCCCTCCAGTACAGTGGCACCTGCCTGCAATCCTGGCACTCTAGGAGGCTGAGGCAGGAGGGTTGA